TCGATGGCAATCCTTAGAGAACTGTTGAGACCATCAGAATCAAAGCAAGGCACCTCTAATATTATTAATGATAACAACCCACAACCAAGTGAACTAAGTCCAGTGCCATTGCCTCGTTTCTGATTCCGATTAGTCAACTCTAGGCAGGGTTTCCAAGGCTATAACTCTTTGCGGAATCAGATCACCTCAACGTTTCCCCAAAGGGTGTGTGGTGTATTTGAACCACTGACGTTGCAGTTAGCGGCTGATGCTCATTATAGTTGACTGAGCCTGTACTAAATGCCAGGCACTGTTCAGAGAGTTCAATGTGCATTATGTCACATAATCTCCCAAACAATTTTATATGGTGAAGTTACCATATAAAAAACAGAACATCAAAGTTTAATTTTATAGAAACAATTAATACTTTTAATATAAATATGTGATTTTGTTATCTATCGTCTATCGATTTGTGCTTCTCCTGACAACGCTACCATAAGATGTAGGAACAAACTATTCAAATCCTTATTTTATAGATGATGAAATTTAGGCACAACTTGTTCTTGATCGCTACCTGGAGCGGTTAGAGGCAAGATTTGAACACAGGCTGAGATCCTAGAAAAAGAAAACCAAACGTACTCCCATCAAGTCAATTCGGACTCATTGTGACCCTGCAGGACAGGATAGCATCGCCCCTGTGGGTGTTTGAGACAGTAACTGTTCATGGGAGTGGAAAGCCTTCTACTCCACCCTCAGAGCAGCTCGTGGTTTCAAACTGCTGACCTTACAGTTAGCAGCCCACCACGTCACCATTCTGCCCCAACACCGGTGCCAATCACTAGCTCTAGTCTGCTCCTCCCGGTGGTAGCAGTGAGTGTGAGACCCAGCATATGGGCTGGTCTGAGATCCTTTCATGGGGTTCTGCTGTGGGGATGACTCACAACCAGCCGGGGTTTTCTTTGCTTTCTCGTGGTCATCCAAGAAAAAGAAATCTTTCCCATTTCTGAAAAGCTGTTCTTGTCAGGAAGAGCAGGGAAACGATCTCTGGGTTTTGTTCCCTCTCGTGAACAGAGCCACAACATGGTCTTTTAAATGAGGCTCCTCCACTCGTTCGACAAGTTGTTAGCAGGTGTT